ATACAAGCGGTTGAAATGAGCTTCCTCCGCAGAGTGGCTGCTCCCTTAGAGATAGGGTGAGGAGCTCAGTCACACGGGAGGAGCTCGGAGTAGAGCCGCTGCTTCTTCATGTCGAGAGGAACCAGTTGAGGTGGCTCGGGCATCTGTTCCGGATGCCTCCTGGACGCCTCCCTGGGGAGGTGCTCCGGGCACGTCCCACCGGGAGGAGGCCCCGGGGAAGACCCAGGACACGCTGGAGGGACTATGTCTCTCAGCTGGCCTGGGAACGCCTTGGGGTCCCCTCGGACGAGCTGGAGGAAGTGTCTGTGGATAGGGAAGTCTGGGCGTCTCTGCTTAGACTGCTGCCCCCGAGACCCGGCAACGGATGAAGCGGAAGAAGATGGATGGATGGATGGATAGCAGGAGGAGCAGCAGGTTTTACAGTGATTCTAGACATTGTTTTTTTTTCTTTCATAAAGTCTGGCGTCTGGCCAAACCAGCAACAGAGACCATGAAGACAAACACATGTGGTTTGTGTTGCTCTACATCAGTCTCTGTACTGTCCTCTGCACTGCTCCATAGACTACACAGGGACAGCATCAGAAGGACCTGCGCACGGCCTGTGTAGATACTCCCAAATATGATGCACACAGTCAACGCGTACGCGCTGTTGACGCCTACTGTGGACATTCCCTGTCAGCCTCAGCCTCAGCCTCTGTCCTCTGTCCTCAGCCTCTGTCCTCAGCCTCTGTCCTCAGCCTCTGTCCTCAGCCTCAGCCTCAGCCTCTGTCCTCTGTCCTCTGTCCTCAGTCTCTGTCCTCAGTCTCTGTCCTCAGTCTCTGTCCTCAGTCTCTGTCCTCAGTCTCTGTCCTCAGCCTCTGTCCTCAGTCTCTGTCCTCAGTCTCTGTCCTCAGTCTCAGCCTCTGTCCTCAGTCTCTGTCCTCAGTCTCAGCCTCTGTCCTCAGTCTCTGTCCTCAGCCTCTGTCCTCAGTCTCTGTCCTCAGTCTCTGTCCTCAGTCTCTGTCCTCAGTCTCTGTCCTCAGTCTCAGTCCTCAGTCTCTGTCCTCAGTCTCTGTCCCCAGTCTCAGCCTCTGTCCTCAGCCTCTGTCCTCAGCCTCTGTCCTCAGCCTCAGCCTCAGCCTCTGTCCTCTGTCCTCAGTCTCTGTCCTCAGTCTCTGTCCTCAGTCTCTGTCCTCAGTCTCTGTCCTCAGTCTCTGTCCTCAGTCTCTGTCCTCAGTCTCTGTCCTCAGTCTCTGTCCTCAGCCTCTGTCCTCAGTCTCTGTCCTCAGTCTCTGTCCTCAGTCTCAGCCTCTGTCCTCAGTCTCTGTCCTCAGTCTCTGTCCTCAGTCTCAGCCTCTGTCCTCAGTCTCTGTCCTCAGCCTCTGTCCTCAGTCTCTGTCCTCAGTCTCTGTCCTCAGTCTCAGCCTCTGTCCTCAGTCTCTGTCCTCAGTCTCAGCCTCTGTCCTCAGCCTCTGTCCTCAGTCTCAGTCCTCAGCCTCTGTCCTCAGCCTCTGTCCTCAGCCTCTGTCCTCAGTCTCTGTCCTCAGCCTCTGTCCTCAGTCTCTGTCCTCAGCCTCTGTCCTCAGCCTCTGTCCTCAATCTCTGTCCTCAGCCTCTGTCCTCAGTCTCTGTCCTCAGTCTCTGTCCTCAGTCTCTGTCCTCAGTCTCAGCCTCTGTCCTCAGCCTCTGTCCTCAGCCTCTGTCCTCAGTCTCTGTCCTCAGCCTCAGTCTCTGTCCTCAGTCTCTGTCCTCAGTCTCAGTCCTCAGTCTCAGTCTGTCCTCAGGCTCAGTCTCAGTCTCAGTCTCAGTCTCAGTCTGTCCTCAGGCTCAGTCTCAGTCTCTGTCCTCAGGCTCAGTACCGGTTTGAAGGCACCGGTTTTCCTTCGATCCCGCAGTTGATCGAGCACCACGTCAGCTCCAAACAAGTCATCACCAAGAAGTCTGGGGTGGTGCTGCACCGCCCAGTGGCCAAGGTGGGTACTGCAGCTGTGTACAAGACCTGCAGATGTGTTTTGACTGTGTTGTGTGTTCAGGATAAGAAGTGGATCCTGAACCATGAGGACGTGACGCTGGGAGAGCTGCTGGGGAAGGTCAGAGCCATGGCCTGTTACACCTCATTTTAAAGCTATACCACTGGTGCTCTCTACCCTACTCAACTACTCTACTCTACTCTACTCTACTCTACTCTACTCTACTCTACTCTACTCTACTCTACTCTACTCTACTCTGATTGGAAGTGTTTTCTGTGGTCCCTGTGTCTCTGGTCCCTGTGTCACTGGTCCCTGTGTCTCTGGTCCCTGTGTCACTGGTCCCTGTGTCTCTGGTCCCTGTGCTCTCAGGGTAACTTTGGGGAGGTGTACAAAGGCGTCCTGCTCAGAGATAAAACTCCTGTTGCAGTGAAGACCTGTAAAGAAGACCTGCCTCCAGAGCTGAAGATACGCTTCCTGTCAGAGGCCCGGTGAGACACGCACGCACAGACGCACGCACAGACGCACGCACAGACGCACAGACGCACGCACAGACGCACGCACAGACGCACAGACGCACGCACAGACGCACGCACAGACGCACGCACAGACGCACGCACAGACGCACGCACAGACGCACAGACGCACGCACAGACGCACGCACAGACGCACAGACGCACAGACGCACAGACGCACGCACAGACGCACGCACAGACGCACGCACAAGTTTTACTCTAAAATCTGTGACAATGCTTTTGTTTTGAAGGATCCTGAAACAGTACGATCATCCGAACATCGTCAAACTGATCGGAGTCTGTACTCAGAGACAACCCATCTACATCGTCATGGAGCTGGTGTCAGGTCAGGACTAAAGCAGGACCAAAGCAGGACTAAAGCAGGTCTAAAGCAGGTCTAAAGCAGGTCTAAAGCAGGTCTAAAGCAGGTCTAAAGCAGGTCTAAAGCAGGTCTAAAGCAGGTCTAAAGCAGGTCTAAAGCAGGTCTAAAGCAGGTCTAAAGCAGGACCAAAACAGGTCTAAAGCAGGTCTAAAGCAGGTCTAAAGCAGGTCTAAAGCAGGTCTAAAGCAGGTAGGGCTGGGATAAACGATTATTTTTTAAACGATTAATCTAGCGATTATTTTTTCGATGCATCGATTAATCTAACGATTATTTTTTTCGCTTCGATTCGATTTCGATTCGATTCGATTCTCGATTATCTCCACATTAATTGACTAATATTGATGTATACATGTTGATTTAAATATTTTAATGAAAAAAACATGAATTCCTTCACAAAAAATATGTATTGCTTGCTCTTAAAATTAAAAAATAAGACATTCTTAGAGGTAGCATAAAACCTTAAAGCCTTGAAAACACAGCTTACTGAAAAAAGTGCATCTTATCATTCTTGAAACAAACATTTGATGCTTAGCATTCAATAAAAATATGAAAAAGTTCAGCCAAATACTTGTGTAGAGCAACTAAAAGAAAACAGTAACCAATGTAAACTTGAAGGCTTTAAGCTAAACAAAGAGTGCTTTTCCAGCAAAAACAGTGGGAGCCATCAGCCTGTCATGGCTACATAAGAGTGTAGAGTGGCCACAGGACGCGTCATCAGTCCACGTCAGCAGCCGCGGACTGCTATGAAAACATTAGCTTTGTGGTTTCACAGGCGCAGTTGACTGCTTAAACTAAACTTTGCACGAAACTTTGACTCTTAAAACCCACATGTGACAAAACGGAACCATCAACATATCGCCTCAAATTGCATTAAAAGTGACATTCGTGTCTGAATTCGTTCGTATTTTAACTTTTAAAGAAATTCACGGTCCGCCATCTTGGTTTGCTTCGGCTGCCGTGAGACGCGCATGCGCAGGTTTGCATTACATGATAAACAGCTGAGGCTGTGCATCTCTTCAAGACAGTGTATCTCAGCGTTACACCGGCTTGCACTTCTCTAACACGGCACTCGCATTGCTACCGCTCGCCGCCATCTTTGTTTTGTGTGTGACGCACCGACGCGCATATTATACGTCGGTGTATTTTTTGCGTCGACGTCACCGATTACGTCGACGCGTTGTCCCAGCCCTAAAAGCAGGTCTAAAGCAGGACTATATTTTGTGTTCACAGGAGGTGATTTCCTGTCGTTTTTAAGGAAAAAAAAGGACGAGTTAAAAACCAAACAGTTGCTTCGGTTTTCCATCGACGCTGCAGCCGGAATGTCGTACCTGGAGTCTCACAACTGTATACACAGGTACTGCTGCAAGTACTACTACTGCATGTACTACTACTGTACTACGGCAAGTACTACTAGTGGATGAGCGGTCCCCTCTCTCCTCTTCCCATTGACCTGAATGAGCTCTCCTCTCTGTCATCTTCCCATTGACCTGAATGAGCTCTCCTCTCTGTCATCTTCCCATTGACCTGAATGAGCTCTCCTCTCTGTCCTCTTCCCATTGACCTGAATGAGCTCTCCTCTCTGTCCTCTTCCCATTGACCTGAATGAGCGGTCCCCTCTCTCTCCTCTTCCCATTGACCTGAATGAGCGGTCCCCTCTCTGTCCTCTTCCCATTGACCTGAATGAGCTGTCCTCTTTGTCCTCTTCCCATTGACCTGAATGAGCGGTCCCCTCTCTGTCTTCTTCCCATTGACCTGAATGAGCGGTCCCCTTTGTGTCCTCTTCCCATTGACCTGAATGAGCGGTCCCCTCTCTGTCCTCTTCCCATTGACCTGAATGAGCGGTCCCCTCTGTGTCCTCTTCCCATTGACCTGAATGAGCGGTCCCCTCTCTCTCCTCTTCCCATTGACCTGAATGAGCAGTCCCCTCTCTGTCCTCTTCCCATTGACCTGAATGAGCGGTCCCCTCTCTCTCCTCTTCCCATTGACCTGAATGAGCGGTCCCCTCTCTCTCCTCTTCCCATTAACCTGAATGAGCGGTCCCCTCTTCCCATTGACCTGAATGAGCGGTCCCCTCTCTGTCCTCTTCCCATTGACCTGAATGAGCGGTCCCCTCTCCTCTTCCCATTGACCTGAATGAGCGGTCCCCTCTCTGTCCTATTCCCATTGACTTGAATGAGCTCTCCTGTCTGCAGGGACCTGGCGGCTCGGAACTGTCTGGTGTCTGATGGAAAAGTGCTGAAGATCTCTGACTTCGGGATGAGTCGCCAAGAAGACGACGGCGTTTACTCTTCATCAGGACTGAAGCAGATCCCCATCAAGTGGACGGCTCCGGAGGCCCTGAACTACGGTAACTATGGCAACTGTGGAGGTCCTGGACTACGGTAACTATGGCAACTGTGGAGGTCCTAAACTATGGCAACTGTGGAGGTCCTGAACTATGGTAACTGTGGAGGTCCTGAACTATGGTAACTATGGCAACTGTGGAGGTCCTAAGCTATTGTAACTATGGCAACTGAGGTCTTGAACTGCGGTAACTATGGCAACTGTGGACGTCCTGAACTACAATGAATATGGCAACTGCCAAGGACCTGAATTACTGTAACTACGGCAACTGCCAAGGACCTGAATTACTGTAACTATGGCAACTGCCTAGGCCTTGAACTCTAACTATGGCGACTGCTCCAGAGGCCCTAAACTACATGTGATGAGTGTTATTAGAGTTTTGCCAGAATGTTATTGGCGTGTTACTAGCATGTTATCTGATTTATAGGGCGGTACAGTTCAGAAAGTGACGTGTGGAGTTTTGGAGTGTTGCTATGGGAGACCTTCAGTTTGGGGGTGTGTCCTTATCCTGGGATGACCAATCAGCAAGCTCGAGAGCAGGTGGAGAAAGGTATGGTCTCAATGTCTTGGAACACACATGTCTCGGTACACGCGTGTCTCAGTACACATGTGTTTGATTGACAGGTTTCCGGATGTCCCGCCCACAGCGATGTCCAGAGGAAATCTTCAAAGTGATGACGCGATGTTGGAACTACAGCCCAGAGGAGCGGCCGCGCTTCAGCCAGGTGCACCGCGAGCTGGGCCAGGTCCGGGTCTGAGGCGGGTCTGGGTCAGAGCCGAGACTGCACCAGCTAAATATAAGCAGTGTTGTCAAGAAGTGACCTCATCCGCTGCTTTTACCTCAAAACACTAAATAAGTGCCACAACTGACCAATCAGGTGCCTCCTCTGTGTGGGCGGGGCTAACCACTGCACACCACCGGAAACACTACAGGACTCTTAAGGAGCCGTTTCCTGAGCTTCTGCATCAGAACACGACACTAACCCTCACGTGTGGCGTTCACTGCTCGCCGCCCCCTCTCTGTGACACTACCCCTCCTCACCTGCAGGGGCAGCAGTATACACTCACTTCCTCCTTGTCGTATTATTGAACATGTTTCTGGGACCTGTTCTGTTTGTATTTAATATTTAACCCAAGTCTTTTCTAAACTTAAGAGTTTTATCAACAACTTTCTGATGTAAATAAACCTTTTCTACCACTTTTATGTGTAACAGACCACGCTCTTATTCTGAAAATAAACCGTGCTTCGAGAGTGTTTCCTGTTGTTGCTGAGCTGAAATCTCCATCCCCAGGGTTTCCGTCCCTGTGAGTTACTGTTTACTCACAGGGCTGAGAGCTCATCCACATTTTCTTCATGTTTTTGTTACCAGAGCGGGGCAATAAGTAGACATGCAAAAACTGGTATGAATATTTACAGTATTTATTTTATTACTATGAAGGAGAAGTGACCCAAAATATAAAAGTTAAACGCCTTTACAAAGCTCTGAATATTAATGAGCCAGGCTGAATAACAGAAATGAAAATACACTCAAAGGACAGCAGGCAGCAAATATTAAAACCACTGTGCGTCGCAACCCCCACACACACAGCTCCACACAGATCTTTATTTGCCCAATGGCAAACAGCACGGCCTCCCGTAACTTTGGCCAAACACGCACACACACATGGGCCCAGCAAACACTCTGGCCGCCCACGGAAACTGGCACCTGTCTGGCACGTAGCCAACTTCCTATTTTAAGGCTGACACCAGCGACACCCACTGGTGACACCCGTTACATTCCTCCCCCACAACGAGCATCGTCGACCCGACGATGTATAAAAAGAGGGGGATACCTCTCAAATTAGAACTCTGCTGTTGGTCTAGTAACCTGTACAGATTGTGGCAGCCTATGTGGATTTGAATGTTGCCCAGCAGTCTTTCGGGAGGATCGTTGAGGCTCAAAAACTAAAAGAAACTTGTTTTCTGTAAAAAGCACTTTATTTATAGAAACGCTGATCTTGTAAAAACGTGTCTGTCGTCACTCGGACATCCACAGTTTGAAGGTTCTGTCGTAGGAACAGGTCGCGATGAGTTTCCCGTCTGCCGACACATCCAACCCCATCACCTGCAAAAGAAGATCACTGCAGGTCTCTCTCTGGTCTCTCTCACACCCTGGTCTCTGTCTCGCTCTCTCTGGTCTCGCTCTCTCTGGTCTCGCTCTCTCTGGTCTCGCTCTCGCTCTCTCTCGCAACCTGGTCTCTCTCGCACCCTGGTCTCTCTCGCACCCTGGTCTCTCTCGCACCCTGGTCTCTGTCTCGCTCTCTCTGGTCTCTGTCTCGCTCTCTCTGGTCTCTGTCTCGCTCTCTCTGGTCTCTCTCTCGCACCCTGGTCTCTCTCGCACCCTGGTCTCTCTCTCGCACCCTGGTCTCTCTCTCGCACCCTGGTCTCTCTCGCACCCTGGTCTCTCTCTCGCACCCTGGTCTCTCTCTCGCACCCTGGTCTCTCGCACCCTGGTCACTCTCGCACCCTGGTCTCTCTCGCACCCTGGTCTCTCTCGCACCCTGGTCTCTCTCGCTCTCTCGCACCCTGGTCTCTCACCTTTCCCTCGTGCCCTGCCAGTGTCTTCAGTGGCATCCATCCAGGGTGGGTCCACACTTTTGCCGTATTGTCGTACGCTCCGGTCAACAGGAACTGCCCGTCTGTGGCTGAGAACAGGAAGTAAACAGGAAGTGAAGTACCTGCTGGACATGGATCTATATAATATCTGGATAGAGCATTAGCTTTAGCAGTGCTTACGTTGGAACCTCACAGCAGACAGAAGGTTCTGATGAGCAGGGATCGTGTACAGACAGCGACGGTTCCTCAGCTCCCACACTTTACACGTGTTGTCTGCACTTCCTGTGGCCAAGTGGTGCCTGGGGTCAGAGGGCAGAGGTCAGGGAGGAGTCAGGAAGGAGCAGAGGGGTAGGGGGAGGGGTCAGAGGTCGTACCCGTTGGGGGAGAAATTGACGCTGTAGATTTCTCTGAGGTGACCTTCAAGAAACATGACACAGCGACCGGTGCGAAGGTCCCAGACCCGACCAAACGAGTCCAGACCACTGTCAACAACAGTTTAATAAGTGACAGGGGTTATGTGTTCACAAATAAATAATCACAAGACCAGAGAGAGAGAGAGACAGAGAGAGAGACCAGAGAGAGAGACCAGGAGAGAGAGAGAGAGACCAGAGAGAGAGACCAGAGAGAGAGACCAGAGAGAGAGACCGAGAGAGAGAGAGAGACCAGAGAGAGAGACCAGAGAGAGAGACCAGAGAGAGACAGAGAGAGACCAGAGAGAGAGAGAGACCAGAGAGAGACCAGAGAGAGACCAGAGAGAGCGACCAGAGAGAGACCAGAGAGAGACCAGTGAGAGACCAGAGAGAGACCAGAGAGAGACCAGGGAAAGTCCAGAGAGAGACCAGAGAGAGGCCAGAGAGAGACCAGCGAGAGAGACCAGGGAGAGACCAGAGCGAGACCAGAGAGAGAGACCAGAGAGAGACCAGAGAGAGACCAGAGAGAGCGACCAGAGAGAGCGAGAGAGAGAACGAGAGAATAAATAAATAAATTAACTTGTGTTTTCTTCATGGTTCTGTGTTGTATATGACGTACATGTTGTTGGAGTAAACACACAATGAGACACACACACGTGGCACAGTGAGGGACCGTGTAGCACTTTACATGTAGTTGTACAAGCACTTGTGTTTGTACCCTGTTGCGGTGAGGGAGCCGTCTGGGTGGAAGTGGATGTCGTGGACCTCTTTGCTGTGACCCTCCTGGTGCAGGATCTCCTCCTGAACCTGGAGGTCCCACAACCGCCACGAGTTATCATAACTGAAACAACAGGATTATTAGACACACAGAGATACACACACAGACACACACACAGAGACACACACACAGAGACACACACACAGAGACACACGTTACCATGTGGTTCCCAGGAAGCGTCCTGATGGGTGCCATGCGACTCGTGGAACTCTCTCTGTGTGTCCTTCAATGTCAGCCACAGGTTCATCACTGAAACAACAGTCACACCATCAGAACCAGTAGCAGCAGTACCATCAGCAGCACCAGCAGCAGCACCAGCAGCAGCACCAGCAGCAGCACCATCAGCAGCACCATCAGCAGTACCTCTCCATGTTCCACAGCTTCACGCTCCCGTCAGCGGCGCACGAGGCCAAACTGACGTCAGACGAGTCTACGACCTTTGGTCTGAAAACGATTGCTCCCACGTTTGTGTTGTGTCCTGTTACCATGGAGACGACACAAGGTTACCACGGAAACAACCACATCTGGTCTCTCACTCTGGTCTCTCTCACTCTGGTCTCTCTCACTCTCTCTCACTCTCGTCTCTCTCACTCTCGTCTCTCTCACTCTCGTCTCTCTCACTCTCGTCTCTCTCACTCTCGTCTCTCTCTCACTCTCGTCTCTCTCACTCTCGTCTCTCTCACTCTCGTCTCTCTCACTCTCGTCTCTCTCACTCTCGTCTCTCTCACTCTCGTCTCTCTCACTCTCGTCTCTCTCACTCTCGTCTCTCTCACTCTCGTCTCTCTCACTCTGGTCTCACCTCTCAGAGTCCGGATCAGGTTGCAGTCGGGCACAGACCACAGTTTGCACAAACCAGACCTGAAACACAAACACAGGTGTGATCCAGACTGCAGGTCAGGAGCTCAGTGTAGAGCCGCTGCTCCTCAGAGTCTCACCAGGAGGCGGTGGCCAGGACCTTCGAGTCAGGGCTGAAGTGACAGAAGCTGATTGGTCGATCATCTCCGATCTGACTGCAGAAGTTATTCAGGTTCTACAGAGAAAAGAGGATCATCAGGAGCTAGTCATCAGGAGCTAGAGTCATCAGGAGCTAGAGTCATCAGGAGCTAGAGTCATCAGGAGCTAGTGTCATCAGGAGCTAGTGTCATCAGGAGCTAGTGTCATCAGGAGCTAGTGTCATCAGGAGCTAGTGTCATCAGGAGCTAGAGTCATCAGGAGCTAGTGTCATCAGGAGCTAGAGTCATCAGGAGCTAGAGTCATCAGGAGCTAGAGTCATCAGGAGCTAGTGTCATCAGGAGCTAGTGTCATCAGGAGCTAGTGTCATCAGGAGCTAGTGTCATCAGGAGCTAGTGTCATCAGGAGCTAGTGTCATCAGGGGCTAGAGTCATCAGGAGCTAGTGTCATCAGGAGCTAGTGTCATCAGGGGCTAGAGTCATCAGGAGCTAGCATCATCAGGAGCTAGCATCATCAGGAGCTAGCATCATCAGGAGCTAGCATCATCAGGAGCTAGCATCATCAGGAGCTAGCATCATCAGGAGCTAGCATCATCAGGAGCTCACCCTCAGACCCTTGTGTAGTTCTTGTTGCTTCATGGCTTTTGTTGCATCAGTGACGTCTTTCTGAAGCCGAGCGTTTTCCAGACGCTTCATCGCCCTGAACACACACGTTACACACATGATACACAAACACGTTACTCAGACAGACACACACGTTACACACAGACACACACGTTACAAACAGACAGACACACACGTTCCACACAGACACACACGTTACACACACACAGACAGACACACACGTTACTCACAGACAGACACACACGTTACACACAGACACACACGTTACACACAGACAGAAACATGTTACAGACAGACACACATGTTATACACACACAAACATACATGCAACACACATGATACACACAACGTACCGTGGCAATGAGTAATGAGCCAACCACAGACGAGCTTGTTCTAAGAAGGCGGGGCCTTCGTGGTACCACGTCTGACTGCACTGTAACCATAGCAACCATCAAGTCAGTAGTCAAGTCATCCAACCATCAGTGGATGTAGTTTGGGAGTACTTAAATACTTAAGTCTAGTGTATACTTGCGCGGCGTGGCTTACGTTAGCGGTTGCGGTGGACCTACGTAAGCACAATGGATGTTATACTGGCGCGTTCCCCTTACGGAGTTTTGAGGAGAATGTTGTAATCCCACAACAAACCACATGAGGGCGATCACACAGGAGCGGTCCCATTTACGCTGCTACTTTGTCCTCTTCAGAACAACAATAACAAACAAAGCTGAGCTCATTACACGTGTTTCTACTGTAGGTTTATGTGATAGTTTTATGGATTCATTATTTTATAAGTCATTTCAACTGTGATGCTGTGAATAAAGACACAGTTCTGTTGGAAACATAGTTATTATTAAATAGTTTTCAGCACAAACAGCAAAACAATAATAGTGGTAAATATCTGAGACAAACATGAACGATTTACGAGTGCAGGAGGAAAGCAACAATATATATATATATATGTTAGATATAAGTTATATATATATGTTAGATATAAGTTATATATATGTTAGATATAAGTTATATATATGTTAGATATAAGTTATATATATGTTAGATATAAGTTATATATATGTTAGATATAAGTTATATATATGTTAGATATAAGTTATATATATGTTAGATATAAGTTATATATATGTTAGATATAAGTTATATATATGTTAGATAGTCCACAGGCTCTGAGCCCAAACTGCTTTTCCTTGGAAGCACAAAGCTCTCTGCTCCATAGAGCCTCGTCCATGCTCCTACTGCAGCCGCTCCGTGCTTCCTTCCAATACACACACACGGACCAATCACAGCGGAGCTTCTCTCACACACGGACGTCACGTCACCTCCGTAAGCTCCGCGCCGCGCAAGTATAAACTAGGCTTTAGTGTGGAGTACTTTTAGTGTGGAGTACTTTTAGTGTGGAGTACTTTTAGTGTGGGAGTAATTGTGTAGTTGTACTTTCACCTCATCGTGAGTACGTCGCACTCGATCTTCGTCTTTTCTGGATTTCTTCAGTGCATCAGGTCCAACGACCGACAGGATACTCCTCAGTCTGGAACAGAGTGCTGCGTTAGTATTGCATAAGTACTACATTAGTATTGTATAAGTACTGCACAGGTAATGCATAAGTACTGCACAGGTACTGCAATAGTACTGCCGCACCGTAGTTGCAGTAATATTTAGTAACATGCTGAGGTATCAGAATTACCTCTCCCTGCGGTCAGCTGGGCCCTCTCCGAACACTGTGATTGGCTCTCCCAGAGCTCTAAGCCCCGCCTTCACTTCTGTGTCGTCAGTGGAGACTGTGATCTGTCGTGCTCTCCTCCTGCGCTCGAACTCCAGCAGGACTTCATGCTGCCGCTCCGAGACCCGCTCCTCGATCTCCAGAGTCTCCCCTGAAAGACAAGACCGGGTCAGGACCAGGTCTGGACTAAGTCACACAAACACACACACACACACACAGACACACTCCTCGCCCTGACGCAGACCTGAGGAGATGTTGATGTTCCCGGCCTGGATTCCAGCCTGGATTCCGGTCTGGACCCCGGTCTGGACTCCGGTCTCTGGACTGGGTTTAGACTCTGCGCTCAGCCTTTCACGCTCCTTCTCTTCCAGGCTCCCGTAGAAGACCCGAGCCTTCTTCACCAGCGGACCATCCTCTTCGTCAGACATACTGCCTCTGGAAACACAAGCAGAATGATCAATTTAACAGAGTCTGAGTCCTGGCTCTACGGCCTCGGTCCTGGCTCTACATCCTCGGTCCTGGCCCTGGCTCTACATCCTCGGTCCTGGCCCTGGCTCTACAGCCTCGGCCCTGGCTCTACATCCTCGGTCCTGGCCCTGGCTCTACGGCCTCGGTCCTGGCCCTGGCTCTACGGCCTCGGTCCTGGCTCTACATCCTCGGTCCTGGCCCTGGCTCTACATCCTCGGCCCTGGCTCTACATCCTCGGTCCTGGCCCTGGCTCTACGGCCTCGGTCCTGGCCCTGGCTCTACGGCCTCGGTCCTGGCCCTGGCTCTACGGCCTCGGTCCTGGCCCTGGCTCTACGGCCTCGGTCCTGGCCCTGGCTCTACGGCCTCGGTCCTGGCCCTGGCTCTACGGCCTCGGTCCTGGCCCTGGCTCTACAGCCTCGGTCTCATTTCTGCACTGTGGTCATCCCCCTCTCTATGTGTTTGTTATTATTATCATATTAAAGCTGATGCAAAGCTTTTGACAATATCAAGATGTAACACAATTGCTTATTTGATAGAAAGTCCTTATGGCTTCTCTACCACAAAGACACAAGCAGAACATGCAAACTGCCCAAAAAACCTGCATTATGTCGATGTAAAGAATTAATGAAAAAAGCCTCATATTTACATTACGGTACAATAAAACGCTGAACATAATATTTACAGCCAAAGGGAACAACATGTGTCATAAATGCCGTTATAAATGAGATAAAATACTAAATGTGTCGAAGTTTGGTCCAATTCTGTGCAACGTAGAGACGCACGAGCCAAGAGCGCGGGTCAAAACTACGGAAGTACAGTCGTTATTAAAAGTACATCAAGTTATATAATATTATTACCGCGGGATTGATTCGCTTTGAGGCTGAAAACGAGCTCAAAATCAGATAAAACATAAGAATAATCACCTGGAGCCGACAACACACGACCCAAACACGTACCGGAAACGAGACGAATCTGCTTCCGGGTTACACGCGTCACGTCCGGAAGGCGCGAGGCGAGAGAACAACGAGAGAACAACAAGAAAACAGCGAGAAGTAAACAACAACAACAACAGATCCAAGGGTCTGGAGCACTCCCGCGGACACGCGCAGGTAAAAGCGGTGTTTGGACCAGTAGCGTCTAAAGCGTGCATTAGCCTGTTAGCTTAGCATGCTCTGTGTGAATGAATGGGGCTGAGGCTAACGCTAACGTTGGGAGCCAGGGTTCAGTGATGTTTCCTCTGAAAATGTGTTAATGATATATTTAGAAAAAATAAGAGTTTAGTTACATTTAGAACCGGGGCTTAATTGAACAACAGCGGAGTTTAATCCTGGGTTAAAACTTTTACTATTTAGGACTAAAGCAGGACTAGAGCAGGACTAAACCAGGTCTAAAGTAGGACTTGTTGATGTTTCAGAATCATGTTGAGGAGGAAACCCACTCGGATCGAGCTGAAAATTGATGACTGTGAAGAGTTTGAGAGCATCAAAAAAGAACTAGAGGTGAGAACCGAGTCTGAGCCATGACTGTAACAGTACTGGACTAGGTCTGAACCAGGACTAAACCGGATGAGGATCAAGTCTTAGCAAGGCCTCTTCCATCTACACCTGCGGACTGCCCCGCCCGACCCGCCTGGGAGTGCTTCAGTCCTGCACCGGACCTGTCCACGTTCAGCGTCCACTGGTCCACGTCCTGTAGCTAGCTTAGGTCCTGGATCATTAGTCTGTCCGTCCGGAGGAGCGGATCCCTTTCTCATATGGGTCTCCCTCCTGTGGGTTTCCCTCCCTGTGGGTTTCCCTGTGGGTCTCCTCTCTGTTCCCTCCCTGTGGGTCTCCCTCCTGTGGGTTTCCTAGTTCCCAGGTTTCTCACTTTTTCCCACTGGGTTTTTTAAGAGTTTTTCCTTGTCGATGCAGGAGGGTCTTGTTGGACAGTTAGTGTCCAACAGAAAGGATTGGTGATGATCAGGACACTTTAGCATTCTACAACATGTATGGACATTTTCTTCTGTGTGTGCTTTATATTCTTCATGTGTTTTAACTGTTGATTCTCTGACCTGTGTTGGTGATTTCAATGGTTTTGTTAAGTCCTCTGAGATGACTTCTGTTGTGACCTAGGGCTATACAAGAATACATTGTATTGTATTGTATTGTGTATTAGCAGTGTTGTTGTTGCAGGCTCGTAAACGGCAGCGTGAGGAGGCAGAGTCAGGTACCGCTGACATCACTGACATCATGGCAGGGGGCGGGGCCTCAGCCACCACGTCATCGACCTCGAGGGCGGAGCTTATCAACGAGCGAATCGGCTTTAAGCCCCACCCGAAGCCCAACACGCTGCCTGGACTGTTCAACTCACTGCAGTTCTGATGTCACCACGGCAGAGGCTTTCCTCTGCACGGACCTGACCCGTACCGAGGCTTTCCTCTGCACAGACTCTCATTTGTATTGTAAATAATATTTGTAATAAAATGAATTGTTCATTTGAGCCAAATCGTCCGGATGCTCCATGTTAACAGTCGGAAAGGGGCAGCGCTCAGAGCGATTCGGAGCACAGAAGTGGGGGCTTGATATTCACCACATAAAGCACAGAGACAGACAAACACTTGTATCCAGACCATTATTTTTTATTACACAAACAATAGTTTATTCAGCTCCTGTCAGTCTCCACACAGTGAACGTCTGAGGTCACTCCACCTCCTGCTGATCACCTGATCTCCACCTCCTGCTGATCTCGAGGAAACACTGAGATGGAGCAGACTTCTCTGAGTCCCCTGTGACTGCGGAAACCACAGCTCTTTAAACAAATTAAGCTTTACGCACATGAGACAAATGTGTAGAAAGTGCTGCTTGTGGAGGCCCTTCACCAGGAAGTCTGAGGGACTGTGAGAACCGTATTTCAAGCACAAGCAGAACGCTTTAATATGTTAATGAGGCGATAAACTCCATAAGTCTCCATCCCCCAGTCCTCAATAGTGTGTGTTGCTCTTTAACACCTACCACAGTAGGAGGAGTATTTTGTGGTAGTTGTGGACTTCTCTCTCAGGTCTCAGGGGCCCTCGGGGGTCCTCAGGTCTCAGGGGTCCTTGTGTGTGATGAGGCCCTTGCTGATGAGGTCAGGGACCTCCACAGCGAGCCAGGGCCCCAGGCCGAGGGCCAGAGCGTGTGCGATCCCGAAGCGCGGCTGGTTGCGCGCCCACAGAGGGTGGAAGTGCTCCGTCAGACAGATCTTTCCTCCAGAATACATCTTCGCCGTCTTCCCCTCGAGCTGCGGCAGCACCAGGTCAGGGGCCGTGGTAGGGTACGTGACGGTGAGCTGCACCTGAGGCAGAGAGCGAAAGCTAACACCACAGAGCTAACACCACAGAGCTAACACCACAGAGCTAACACCATAGAGCTAACACCATAGAGCTAACAGGACACACACGTCTCACATCAGAAACAGTTTTAGAGTGATGTCACAGTGGTGATGTCACAGTGGTGATGTCACGGTGGTGATGTCACAGTGGTGATGTCACAGTGGTGATGTCACAGTAGTGATGTCACAGTGGTGATGTCACAGTGGTGATGTCACGGTGGTGATGTCACAGTGGTGATGTCACAGTGGTGATGTCACAGTAGTGATGTCACAGTAGTGATGTCACAGTGGTGATGTCACAGTGGTGACGTCACAGTGGTGACGTCACAGTGGTGACGTCACAGTGGTGATGTCACAGTAGTGATGTCACAGTGGTGATGTCACAGTAGTGATGTCACAGTGGTGATGTCACAGTGGTGATGTCACAGTAGTGACGTCACAGTGGTGACGTCACAGTAGTGATGTCACAGTGGTGATGTCACAGTGGTGATGTCACAGTGGTGATGTCACAGTAGTGATGTCACAGTGGTGATGTCACAGTGGTGACGTCACAGTAGTGATGTCACACCTCCAGCTGCAGCTCGTACTTCAGTAGTTCGTGGATGACCCAACAGACCCCGCTCCACTTGGTTCCGTCAGAGTTGGATTCAAGTCTAAACCAGTCTGAGTCTGAGGCCTTGTTCAGCTCCACGGCTCTGATCAGAGCTCCATACTCCTCCTTCAGGCGGGAGGGCCACAGTGCCGGCTCCCGAGGGCCCGCCGGGGTCTTCAGCAGCGGGATCTGAGCCACTACACGACGGGTGGCCTCGTCACACATGTCTGTAACAACACAGACACACACATGTCTAACAACCCAGACACACACATGTCTGTAACAACACAGACACACACATGTCTGTAACAACACAGACACACACATGTCTAACAACCCAGACACACACATGTCTGTAACAACACAGACACACACATGTCTGTAACAACACAGACACACACATGTCTGTAACAACACAGACACACACATGTCTAACAACCCAGACACACACATGTCTGTAACAACACAGACACACACATGTCTAACAACCCAGACACACACATGTACTTGTCGGTAACAGACACACACATGTAACACACTCTCGTCGGTAACAGACACACACGTCTGTAACAACACAGACACACAAGTCTGTAACAACACAGACACACAAGTCTGTAACAACACAGACACACGCATCTTTGTAACAACACAGAAACACACGTCTGTGACAACACAGACACACACAAGTCTGTAACAGACACACACGTCTGTAACAGACACACACAAGTCTATAACAACACAGACACACACGTCTGTAACACAGACACACACATGTCTGTAACAACACAAACACACACGTCTAACAACACAGACACACACGTCTGTAAGAACACACACACGTCTAACAACACAGACACACACGTCTGTAAGAACACACACGTCTGTAAGAACACACACGTCTGTAAGAACACACACGTCTGTAAGAACACACACGTCTGTAAGAACACACACGTCTGTAAGAACACAGACACACACGTCTGTAAGAACACAGACACACACGTCTGTAAGAACACAGACACACACGTCTGTAAGAACACAGACACACACGTCTGTAAGAACACAGACACACACGTCTGTAAGAACACAAACACACACGTCTGTAAGAACACAAACACACACACATGAATGAACACTATGAACATTGAGAAATGTACAATTAAAATGGAATAAATAGAGAATTTTTTAAATCAAAATGTAAAACAAAAATGGGCTGTACCTCTAAACTTCTGTGATTGATCCTGCAACAGCAACAGAACACACAGCGTCATCATCCACACACAAACACACAAACCTGGTTCACACCTGGTGCAGTCCTGGTTCAGTTCTGGTTCAGTTGGAGTTCAGACCATAGACTTTTTTTTGCTTGGTCAGGCCTGGTAAAGCCCTGGGTTGGACCGGAATCAGACCTGGTTTAGTTGGGGTTCAGACCATAGACGTTCAGTCCTGGTTGCGCTCGTGCTGGAAATGGAATAGTGACGTGGACTTCCGCGTGGACTTTTTTTAATTTTATTGACAACAAGACAAAAATGTACTGTATTTTTTTCTGCGAAACATCTGATTATTAGTGAGTCATTATTATGATTATTATCAATATCATAATAACGACTAATATCTATGGATTTCTTCCTTCATATTTATTTAGTTCTTGATTTTTAACTTATTTCCGCCGTTTTATCTTTAAAATAAAGTCATTAAAAGCACTCAAAGCTAACTTTTGTGGTGATTTATTGTGACCTCCACATTTTTTATCCATTTTGAAGTTGATCTTTAATCACCTTTCCGCTGGTTTCTCCCCGCAGACCTGGCACCCCTAAGCAGTAAACAGACCCGTCGCCATTTTATGAATCCATTGTGGACTTCGCGTTAGTTTTATATGTTTATCTGACATTTTTCTGAAATTTGGTTTCAAATATAACACGCTTTCTTTTGGTCTGAACCGCACGCGGACGAACCGAGCCCCGTGGCGCGAAAATGACGTCGGAGCGGCGCGAGGACAAAGGTGAAAGCCCGCTACAGCTTTGTTAGCATGTTAGCATGTTAGCTTTTCTTTCAGAAGTCAATGGGATTTCGCCTGTTAGCATAAGATAGCTTCTGTCTGCGCCTTTGGGCTCATTCTGGGACATTTAACCGAATACTTAAACCGATGTCGTATGTGGCACGGGAGGTTTGAAGCAAGATTGTGTGATTTAATATTATTGAAGGATAATGTAGGTTTTTACTGCGTCATGTGTTTGCACATGTAAATTTCTCCTATGCGAGATAAATAAAGCAAATCTTATCTTATCAATGAGTAAAAAGGAAACCCCTTTGTTCGTTTGTTTTAATTCAACCATGTGAAAACAAAACGACACATTAGCTTACGTGTAATAATTGCGTTTTTCCTAATGAGGTGCACTAATGAAAGACTGAGAACGTGTTTGAGAGCGGGAGGATTATATCATATCCATTCTTCTGCTGAACCCGAACACCTCCCCAGGGAGGTTTCCAGGGGCCATCCCAGACAGATGAGCCACCTCAACTATATTACTACTACTACTCAACCTCTCTATATTAAAGAGCAGCGGCTCTACTCCGAGCTCCTCACTCACTCTATGGGAGCAGCGGCTCTACTTTCGAACTTCTCACCCTGCAGCCAGTCTCCACGATCTTGTTCTTTTGGTCATTACCCAAAGCTCATGAGCGGAGGGGAGGCAGAGCCTTCAACCCCGCCGCTGTCAGACTGCACAATGAGTCTGACAGCGGCGGGGTTGAAGGCTCTGCGGTAGTGCTCCTTGTCATTCAATTTTCAATGTATTCTTGTCTCGCCCTAATTCTCAACAGTAGTTTCTCAGAGACTTAACAAAACCGTTGAAATCACCAACTCAGATCAGAGAATCAACAGTTTAGACACAGAGAAAATATAATATTGGACCATAGGGATATACCACATGGTATTGGTCCATACGGAGAGACCAGAAGGGATTGGTCCATAGGGAGAGACCACATGGTATTGGACCATAGGGAGAGACCACATGGTAGAAGAAGGTCCTTTATTCTTCCCACAATGGGGAAATTTCAGTTTGATGCACACATATACATATGCACTTACACACATACATGTATACATATATACATACACATCGAACCCACGACCTTCGGGCTCAAATGCTCTATCAACTGAGCCACTGTCGGACCATAGAGAGAGACCCATGTCCATAAATGTTGTAGAATGTTAAAGCTGCACTAACTGACTTTGGGATTTTGAAGCCGCGGACTCGCTGGCCTCGCTCTTTCTGCTCCCCTCCCCGCACCCACGAAGCTATCGCCCCCCACACACACTCACTGTTGGGACGGAGCTAGTGTCTCCCAATATGGATAATACATGGATATGGATTTGCACGTGGATGGCGTGACCATAGAACGATAGAACCGGGAAGTGCGGAGGAACGGGACTTCGCTGAGTAAGCAGTAACGGGTGACGAAGACGAGGAACTTTTAGGTTAGCTCCGCTGCTTTTTGTGCTAACTCAGCCGTCTATGCTAACAGGGACCTGTAGATTTCTCACGAAAGTGGGGGCTAGTGGTCCGCTGTGATTTGTCACAATCTGCGACCCGAAACACATCTCTTCCTTGTTTCATCAAAACTCGATCTAAAATATAATGTCACGGCAGCACAAATCTGCGCTACTTTTTCTTCTAAAGGACGTTTATCCAAATGCACTGCATGGACATGGATAGCACTTTCGTGATGAATACGAAAATAAAGTCCGTTAGTGCAGCTTTAAAGTGTCCTGGAGCATCACAGTCCTTCTTGTTAGACACTAACTGCAACAGACTCCTGCATCAGAGGATAAAAACCCTGAAAACCGGTGGGAGAAAAGTGAGAAACCTCAGATCCACATTGTAGAATGACGAGTGGTCAATAGCTTTTCAGTTGCTTTATTGTGCGAACATGACACAAGCAGTTAAGCTAATAACGTTTCCAGGCTAACGTCTCTATATAACTCTGGCGCTCTTGCCGTAAAGCAGGTGCCGTAAACAGTATATCAGTATAACAGTATAACTATATATCATTTATATATGACATCTCCCCCTTTATGTACTCCCCCTAAATCAAAAGGTGAAAATAAACAAAAGTACAACCATTAACATATCAGATTACTTTTTCTTTCTTTTTTTTTTAGAAGACCCCATAGAACAAGTCTTTCCTATAACCTGCAATAAAGTATTTGCAAGAACATAGAAGTAGTATTAGTAACAACATTAGGGTACATGCAAGTATTTTCCTTTATCCCATCTTCCCCCCCAAAAGCCATGGTGTGCAATGTGGAGCACACTTCAGAGACTACAGGTCCAGTCTCTCGACAGGTCTGCACACACGACCGGACCTGGTACACACCGGAGAGTGAGAGTTCGTAGGCAGGCCCGGACTGGCCATCGGGAGCATCGGGAGATCTCCCGGTGGCCTGCGTGTCAAAGTGGCCTGGGCCTGCCCTATCATCACGGTCTTTTTTATTTATTTATTTATTTTTTTCTTTTAATTTAATTTCATCCTCACGGCCTTTGCAAACTCCTACCCTGCCTGGTGGCCTGGTCCAATGAGCAAGGCCCAGGCCAAAGCCAGTGTTGTGCGTGAACGAGTTCAAAAGAACGCGTTCATTGAACACGCTCATTTTTTCGTGAACGTTGAACTGAACACAACACATTTTTTTATAAAGAACTTGAACGTGAATTAGTTCATATTATGTGTCATGAACGGCAGACAATTTGTTTTCCATTTAAAACTGAGTGAAATCTGTTTTCTCTTTTGAAACGCAACGAGAGAAAGTTCCTCCCTCCTGTATTCTCCGCACTGTTTCCGCTGAAAACTAAAAATTCCTACGGTTTCCACCGTCTGTGAACGCACCCCGACTCAGTGTACTTGCGGTGCGGCGCTGTATGCTAGTGCTATTCATTGGTTGTTGGACTCACATGTGCCGTGATGAAAACACAGGGGTAAGTCAGTGACACAGCCGTTTACATTTGACATAAAGTATAGACACACGTTCTGCAGCGCATTACAGTTTGTACTTATGAGCAGAGATGGGACAACTCAGTTCCCATTGAAACCCATGTAAATCTTGTCTGCATTGGAGTCAAAACATCCTGTGCAGTGTACAGGATATAATATATAATTATATATATATACCACGTATTGTGATTTCTAGCTCGTAGTGAAAAAAAATATTTATTTAAATATCTCGCAAAAAGTAAAATGAACTGAACTTTGAACTAGTTCAAAATTAAAATTGAGAACTTTGAACGTGAACTGTTCACTTTGAGCATGTATGAACTGAACTTGAACTAGTTCAGTAAAGCTGTGAACTGGCACAACACTGGCCAAAGCTTTACTGTCATTGGGCCAGAGCAAAATTAAACAAATGTGACGTCACACGTCGGCTACACAGCCAGGCCAGCCTAGCAGTGCACCCAGTGTAGCTTCCCCGGTTGAAATGAGTGGTCTCTCCAACTGATGGTTCATACACGTTTTTATTTGTCCTTTTATATGAGCTGTAACGATGTAATTTTACCTTACTACTTTTTTAACAATAATTGATTAGCTTGTTATAGTTATACACTAATGAACACTTAGTTCATTGTGTGTGTGTGTGTGTGTGTGTGTCTTTATTCTCACTAAACTCCATAAACGTTACGTTGCTAAGCAACGTACAACAATCCTTAAACGTCCGAGATTATATAAACAGTCAATATAAAAAAAAAATAAAGAAAACAAAAGTTTTGACAGTCAATCTTAAAACTATTAAAAGAACATCAAAATACAATGACAAAAACCCAAATTTAGAACCTTGTTTGGCCTGAATGGATGAAAAGCTCCCGGCCTGAAATGTTGTCCCACTCCGGCCCTGTTCGTAGGTGTGCGTGTCTCAGCAGGAGCAGACACCAAGGGCATAGTCTCTGGGTCGGAGAAACCAGTTGGCTGGATTGGCGCAGCCACCGCGGTCTCTGTGGGTTGAGGAAGAGGAGCAATGTCTATCGGCGCAGAGTAATCCGTACGGAGATGACGACGGTTGCGACGAAACATTACTCCTTGAGGTGTCTTGAGAATGTACGATCGCGGGGTAACGCACTCACTGGAAACAGTTGCTGGTGTCACCCAAGCTTTATCCTGGTCCAACTTGGCGACGACTGCATCGCCCGGACGCAGTGGGGGAAGTGGTCTGACCCCATGGCGGCGATTGAAGTAGAAGGCTTGTCTAGCCTTCTCTACAGCATCTTTTTTTAGCACCATCTTTTTGTTGGGCCACTTCGGATTAAGATTTTTCTCCAAAGTAGGAAGGTTTGTTCTGATCTTTCTCCCCATGAGGAGCTCAGCTGGACTGACGCCAGTGGTGGTACAGGGTGTTGACCTGTAACACATGAGAGCAACGAGCGGGTCTTCCTGTCTGAGGATTTTCTTTGCGGTTTGTACTGCTCTCTCTGCGTGACCGTTTCCTTGAGGATGGTGAGGACTAGATGTGAGATGCTTAAAGTCCATGTCCTCGGCAAACTCGCGGAACTCAGTGCTGGAAAACTGAGGCCCGTTGTCACTCACCACCTCGTCGGCGACACCGAAACGAGCAAAAGTGGCTTTCGGTCTTTGAATCACTTGAAAGCTTGTAGTGGATGGCAGTTGCAGAATCTCTAAATAACGAGAATAGTAGTCTGATACTATTAGATAACTGTTTTTATTGTACTCACAAAGATCCAGTCCTATTCTTTTCCAAGGTCGATCGGGCAAAGGAGTTGAGATGAGTGGCTCCTTTTGTTGGGTGCGCCTCTGCTCCTGGCAGGTGTGACATCGCATTACAGTGCTTTTCAGTTCAGCTGAAAGGCCTGGCCACCAAACTGATGAGTTTGCCCTGTCTCTGCACTTTGAGAGTCTTTGGTGTCCTGAGTGTATTTTCTTTAGAATCTCTGACCTCTCAGACTTTGGGATCACGATTCTACAGCCACGTGTAACAAGGCCATTCGTCTCTGACAGTTTTTTTTCATTTTAATGGCACTTTCAGATACTAATGTACCACGGATTGCACCGTCACTTAATGTGGCCGCTTTAATACTGTCCATACGACTGGGAGAGGCTGGAATGCCCTGCACGACAGTGGCTATGTAACATTCAACTTCACTGTGTGTGTCCACCTCCTCCCTTGTGTAGGTCTGGGGGCTGCGTGACAGTGTATCAGCGACAACAAGTGTTTTACCTGGCATGTAAACAGCTTCAAGTTTGTACCTCATGAGTCGCATTAGCAGGCGCTGACATCTCAGGGGAATGTTGTCCAAGCTCTGGCTGTTTATGAGAGGTACAAGTGGTCTGTGATCTGTCTCTAGTCTGAAATGATCCAAACCACACAGATATTTATCAAACTTTTCGCACGCCCACACACTGGCCAAACACTCCTTCTCTATCTGGGTGTAACGTGTTTCGGCTTCAGTGAGACGTCTGTAACAATAGGCAACTGGTTTCCACACTTCCCCTTGGAGTTGGAGTAACACAGCTCCTAAACCATAGCTGCTGGCATCTGCAGACACAGTAGTCGGTTTAGTAATGTCATAAAAGGTAAGAACGGGTGCTGTTGTCAGCAGGTCTTTTATGTTCTCAAATGCTGATTGCTGTGAAGGACCCCAGGTCCAGGCATTTTTTTAGCAGATCATACAGTGACTGACTTATAGTAGCAAGATTAGGAATGTACTTGCCTAAATAGTTGACCATGCCGAGCACTCTCTTCAATTCCTGCACGTTTTGGGGTGGAGGCAGCTGGCTTATGGCGTCAACTTTCTCCGGGTCTGGCCTGACCCCGGAACGGTCAATCAGATGACCCAGGAATCTCAGCTGGCTTTGTCTCAGGGAGCACTTTTCTTTGCTGAGCTTTAGGCCAGTTGATTCAATGCGACGCATGACTTTGTTTAGACGAGCGTCGTGTTCCTCCATTGTGACTCCATACACCAGGATGTCATCCATGAAGACCTCGACTCCCTCCAGACCCTCCAGCGTCTCTAGCGTTTTCCGCTGGAAGATGAAACAGTATCTGCCAAACGGTGTTATGAATGTTGTTAGCTTACAACTGCCAGAATCCACTGGCAGCATAGAGAGAGGAGAACACCGTTGCACCACTCAGTTTGGAGGTGATTTCATCAGATGTTGGGAGAATATAACGCTCTCTTTTAACTGATTTGTGGAGTTTTGTTAAGTCCACGCAGATTCTCGCTCTGCCTGTATGTCTCTTTAAGACCGGGACCATGGGAGCACACCATTCTGTTGGTTATGTGACAGGTATTATGACACCATTCTGCTCCATTCTCAAAAGTTCATCTTTAACCTTTTGTAGCATGGGAAAAGGAACCCTGCGTGCAGTGTGTACAGCATAAGGCACTGCATCCTCTCTTAGCAGGATTTTTACTGGTTCTGTATTTAATGTACCATGTTCTCCATAGAGCTGTTGTGGCTGGTCCCTATTGGAAACAGCGTCTACTCTCCTCACTAGATTCATTTCCACCGACAGAGAGCGGCTGAGTAGATTGTTCACTCTTTTACCACGAACTACATACATTGTTGACATATAGTTCTTACTTTTATAGCACACAGTCACATCAAAGCAGCCTAGGCACAGCAGCTCTCCTCCTGGGCTGTCCAGAGGAAGATCAGATGGCTGCAGTGGCTTTTCGGGAGCTATTGCGTGAAAGGTATTTTCATTTATGACATTAACATCGGCTCCGCTGTCAATTTTGAATTCCACCGGGACAGAGTCTATGTGAAGAAGCACAGTCCATGTTTCTCCCTTTCCTTTGGGGTTACTAACTGAGCCGAGAAAGTAGGAGGTCTGTTCAGTGCTTTCATTATCCCTCACTTCATTAACTGAATTACCACTACGACATACTCGAGCCCAGTGTCCCATTTTGTGACAGTTGTGACATGTAGCTTTTGAAGCTGGACATTTTTCCTCATTGTTGTGGCTCGTTTTACCACATTTTCCACACTTTTTATTTGAATCGCCCCATTTTCTGTTCTTGGTCTGCTTGCTCCGTTGATATGACGGTCTCCATGTAGTGTTTCTACCTTTACTTCGCACTTCTTGTACCGCTGCTGTTGTGTCTCCCTGCAGGCATACTTGAGCCGCGACCTCCTCTGATTGTCTCACATTTTGTATCGTGAGCGTTAACGTAAGGTCCGACATGAGCTGGAGTTTGCGGGAAAGTTCCTTGTCCATGATCCCGACAACGATGCGGTCACGGATGTGCTCTTCCCTGGTAACTCCAAATTCACAATGCTCTGAGAGCTCATAAAATGCTCGTATGAAACTCTCTGCCTTTTCGCCTGGCCGTTGGACGCGCTGGTGAAAACATGCTCTCTCATGTATCACGTTCCTCCGCGGAAAAAAATACTCGTCATATTTTGCCATTACAATCTCTATTTTATCACGGTCCTCGACTGCAGCGAACGTGAATGACTTGAAAATGTTCTCGGCTTCAGCGCCCATTGCATAGATAAGGCAGCTCACCTGCACTTTCCCATCGTCTTTGTCTAGTTTTGTCGCAATCCTGTACCGCTCAAACCGTTGCTTCCAATCTGGCCACTCTGTTGGCTTCTCGAAGGAAAAGTTTGCGGGAGGATTAAACTTGGCCATATCGACAAATTCTCCAATCCAAAAATCTCTTCTCACGGCGAAAATCCAATCCTGGCCACTTCTGACACCATGTAGAATGACGAGTGGTCAATAGCTTTTCAGTTGCTTTATTATGCGAACATGACACAAGCAGTTAAGCTAATAACGTTTCCAGGCTAACGTCTCTATATAACTCTGGCGCTCTTGCCGTAAAGCAGGTGCCGTAAACAGTATATCAGTATAACACTATAACTATATATCATTTATATATGACAGTTTTTCTCTCGATGCGGGCTGTTTTACTTCGGAGGTGAAAGATGCGGCCCACTTTACCGCGGTTGTTTTTTTTCATTGTATTCATAGGCTTAGAATTTAACTTATAAATGTCCATGAGAGAGGAGTGCTCTCCGTGAATATGCGCCATCTTGAAAAACAGTGGTGGATAAGGGACAAAAATAACGTGAGAAATGCGTTTTTGTTTCACATGAGCTACTGATATCGTTGCTTTCACCGTGTCTTCACAAGTTGGAAGAAGGAACCATGGAGGACCACAGTTATATAAAAGAACCACGGAGGACCACAGTTATATAAAAGAACCACGGAGGACCACAGTTATATAAAAGAACCATGGAGGTGTAAAAGAACGACCCGAACAACAATCTTTTAGAAAAATAATGATGCAGAAGTTCAGCGTTATTGAGAGTGAGGAGTTGACGTCATAGCACAGAGCCCCTCCCCGTCTCCGCCATGTTGGTAGGATCCCACCCAGCGGCAAACAGTTGTTGTTAACTCGGTAGCAAAGGAGGTCATCGCTATTTCTGTTTTACCATGCCTGGAGCTCATTGCTGTGTGAAAAACTGCTCCAGTACCTCACACAATAAGAAAGGAAAACGTAGGAACAACGGTTTACAATTTTTTAGGCCACCAAAATGGATACAACATCAGGGAGCGCAAGTGTCTGACCTGACGAAGAGACGCCGGATGGCTTGGTTGGCTGCAATAAGAAGAAAGGACCTTACTTTCGATCTCACCCCCCAGTCGATGAGAGTGTGTTCTCTGCATTTTCACTCGGGTACGTCCTAAAATGTCTTTATGTTACCTTTGCAAGTACAACAGTGTTTTCACCGCCTGGAGGCTTGTAGATGGCCAAGTCCTGCACCCAACCACAGCAGAAAGCCTCGTAACTCTCCAGTGACTTGTGACTTCTAAACTCCTGCATTGTGTAATAACTAACACCGAAAACAAGGTAATTGACTATATCCATGTACGTGCACGGAGGCAAAAAGTCTAGGTCTTTTTGCCACTCCGCTGCAGGAAGCTCGTATGGGTCTACCTGTTGTATGTCTGAGAGCTTCTCCAAATAACGTTGTTTTGCCGTGGGTAGATGCTTTTCCCTGTACGGTCCATTTCCTTTTGCCTTCACTTTCTCCATTAACTGTCTTGCTAGTGTTGTATTCGTAGATGTATCTACTGCCGAACTAATAAACGTGCTCAATTTAAAGACCTCTGGAGCGTTAGCGTTAGTGGCGTTGCCCCTGGCAACCGATGGAGGATCCTATCAACATGGCCGACCGGATTAGACCCCGCCCAAATTATCACGTGATCCCTCATTCTCAATAGCAGCAACGTGTCAACATCGCAAACCACACGCTCCGAAAGACAGCGTTAACACAACAGGAGGCACATTGTGTAGTTTGTACACAACAGACTCACACGTGAACAATACGTAACTTTTTCACACTGACAATAATGAGAACGAGACCGAATCTACAACACAGTCTCAGGATGTTCTGACCCGATCCGAGCGCAGTCCGACTACTCGCACAAGTTTGAACTAAAATTATTCAAGGACAAGCCTCAAATAAAACACACACAGAATCCCCACAAAACAATCACAGAATACTTTATCAGCAGCGTGAGTGAATGTGTTTTTCTTACCGTGATGCAGATAGGGCGCTGTGGCTAACGCTAATGCAAACATGAGCTGTTAGCCATGTCCTGCCGTGGCTCTGTATATCTCCTGCTTCTTTGATCACCGTAGTTTTAAGCTCCCACAGACGTTATTCCTCCTTGCTTCTCTTCTCTTCACCCCGCGTTTGTAAAACTATATATTATAATAGATCCATGGTAAAAATCAGTGCATCCTCTGTGCAGGGTGCCACGTCTGAACCAGTGGGGGCGGGTCCCAGCTCAAAAGTGGCCAAAATGACGTGCGCTGACATGCTTGCAATACCACCCCGGACCGATGGGGGTGGACCCAGAAGTAGAATTAGCCAATGCTAACATATAGCATTGGCAGAGCTCTCAAAAACGTCTTTACAGGATGGACCAAAAGTTGGCTCTTGGCCCAAAGCTCCGTTCCACATGTGTGTCAATGCTGAGGGGGGTGAATTTTTTTGGTCCACTCTAGTTTACTTGCTGTGAATTTTTTAAGTCTCTCGTTCAAATGAATGGAGTTGCGCCAGCTGACACATGCGCAGATGCGTTTTTTCACAATTTTCTTGTGGGCGGGACCACTCGCGGCCATTTTGGATTGCTCCAGTAGAGCACATTTTTTGGCCCATTAGTTAGAACGGCGGAGATAGGCGTGACTCTGTCCGTTAATATATACAGTCTATGGTATGAATACTGACCCCTGTCCGTCTGGCAGTGTAACGACAGTCCTGCCACTGAACTGTGCTGACTCAGTTATGCATCTGGAACTTAACAAAGTACAACAGAGTTCACTTTTTAAACCAATAGAGACTGTGTGTGTTCCTCGCACCAGCTCAGAAATGTGTTTTAACCTGAATAAACACAAATTTAAAAGAAGGACAGCAGTTAGACGGTCCAACTCTGGAAATCTAATTCCAGTTCTTTGTAATCAATCAACTAAACCCACTGACACTGATATTAATTTTAACCTTGCTCTACTTAATGTCAGATCACTATGCAACAAATCATTTTTAATTAATAATTTTATCTGTTCGTATGATCTTGATTTTATGTTTATGACTGAAACATGGCTTGACCATAATACAGGAGATGCAGTTTTAATAGAAGCCTCACCACCAAATTTCAAATTTGAATATGAAACACGAGAAAATAAAAGGGGGGGGGCATAGCAGCAGTTTTTAAAGATCGTATTGTCTCCCATAGAGTGTCTCTTGGGAAATTTTCATCATTTGAGTATGTTTCTTTTAAAATAGAACAAAAGAAATCTTCTTCCATTCTTATTATTGTTGTGTACAAGCCGCCACAGTCATGCCATAGTTTCACTGATCATTTCACTGAATTGCTTTCAGTTGTGTGCACAGATTTTGATGGTTTAGTCATTATAGGCGATTTTAATATTCATGTGGATAATGTTAATGACAGATACGCAAAAGAGCTGAGTTCCATACTTGAATCCGTTGGCCTCACTCAGCATGTGAGTGGCCCCACCCATAGCAGAGGACACACCCTGGACCTGCTTATCACGAAAGGGGTGAATATTTCAAAAGTTAATGTAGTTGATGTTGCTCTGTCGGATCATTTCTGTGTATTTTTTAACATGTGTTTTGCTACCAGACCACCCGCTAAATATGAAATTGTTAGAAGTAGACACTTAAATGAAAACACGGGTGAACTATTTATGGGAATGATCCATTTTGAGAACACATCATGTTCTACTGTAGATGAACTGTTTAACTCTGTCACCTCTAGTGTGTTGAATGTTCTGGACGCCATTGCCCCTGTGAAGGTAAAAATGGTCACAAATAAGCAAAAAGCCCCATGGATAAAAGCAGGCCCGGTCAGGGCACAGAAGCAAGAGTGCCGGAGAGCAGAGAGAAAGTGGAGAAAGTCCAACCTCCAGGGTGATTATAAACTCTTAAAAGAGAAGTTGTGTGAGTTTAACAGAGTACTACGTAGAACAAGAGAATTATACTTTTCTGAAACTATTGAAGGCTGCAGCAACAATCTGCGTGTTCTATTTTCAACAATCAATAGATTAACAAACCCCCCTGTTGAGTTGCCATTAGAACACTACTCCAAATCCAGGTGTAATGAGTTTGCACAGTTCTTCAGAGACAAGGTTCAGGGTATCAGAAATGCCATCACCTCTACAACACAAGTAACAATGCAACATCCAGTGAGGCTTTGTGAGCTAGCTCAATTTGCACCTGTCAATGATGAAACTGTTAAAAAGATAATCACAGGTCTTAGTTCCTCTACCTGCAGTCTGGATGTACTACCTCCTAGATTTCTGAAGTCTATTATGTGTGGTCTATTACCCTCATTGACACAAATAGTAAACATGTCTTTTTTATCTGGAACATTTCCAATGGCCCTGAAAAAGGCAGTCATCAGGCCCCTCCTAAAAAAGAGCAGTTTGGATGCTGCGGTACTTGAAAATTACCGTCCCATCTCAAATCTGCCTTTCATGGGAAAAATTCTTGAAAAAGTTGCCTACCAACAACTTACTGAATTTTTAATATCTAATGACTCATTTGACATGTTCCAGTCTGGCTTTAGACCACACCACAGTACTGAGACCGCTCTAGTCAAGGTAACAAATGATATTCGGCTTAACACTGATGCAGGAAAAGTCTCTGTTTTAGTCATGTTAGATCTGAGTGCCGCTTTCGACACCGTTGACCATGAGATTCTCATGCAGAGACTGGAGGACTGGGTTGGTGTTGCTGGTACCGCCCTAAGCTGGTTTAGGTCCTATCTAGAAGAAAGGAAGTATTGTGTGGAGATTGGAGACTATGTCTCAGATAATATGGCCCTGACCTGCGGAGTGCCACAGGGGTCGATTCTGGGACCTCTCCTGTTCAATATTTACATGCTGCCATTAGGTCAGTTAATTCAAAGTATGAAAGTGTCCTACCACAATTATGATGACACTCAATCTATGTCTCACTGACTGCAGGAGAGCATGGACCGGTGGACTCACTCCTTCGCTGTATCCAGCGGATCAGTGAGTGGATGCAATGCAATTTTCTCCAGCTAAATGCGGACAAGACCGAAATGATTGTCTTTGGTCCCGAGAAACAAAG